CAGATGGCCCTTGCTTGGTACGAGGTCAGGAGAGAGCAGGAGTCTTAGCGTCCTAACCTTCTGAGCTTGCCTCTGTGTCATGGTTGGGGATGAAGTCACAAGAAGGGGATCAGAGCCTGCAGGTGTGGTCTTGTATTAGTACTGCAGATGAGAGGGTAGGGCACAGATCTACAGCGGCCAATAAAGAATATGCGGCTCCAGGTATTTGTACCATGAGATGTACATATGTAATCACTATCTATAATAGCTATGATAGCTAATGTATGAGATACAGCCTATGTTCTGTTCAGGCATGGAAACACTTCAAAGGATTCTATAATGTCTATGCCATGTACATATGCATATATGTATTCATGCACTGTGTGATATATATATACAATATTCTACATATGTTTATGTAATGTGTACATATATGTACAATGTGCATATGTGCATATTTATGTGTGTATATGTATAGTAGGAAAAAAAGCAAAATTAACTTTGGGAAGTAGAGAAAACTAACAACTGGGTTAGTCAGACCTTCCGACTCATGACAAACCCGGAGGAAAGCAAAGGAGGTAGAATCTTGCTGTTTTTGAGGTTTTTAGCTAATGGCCCGAGCCCTGTCCTTTCAGGTCCAAGGTGAGGCTGAACAGGAGGGAGGCGAGGGGAAACAAGGATGACTGTGCTAGTGGCCTTTCTCTCTTTTTTTTCTCTTATTCCACTCGGAGCCTCAGTCTGTAGGATGGTGTCATCCATTCAAGATGGGGCTCCCTCCCTTAAGGACACACATGTCCCAAGATTCCAAAGTCCCATCCCTTCCTAGCAACGTCCACACACACACTCAGAGGTAAGCGCTAGTGATCTAGGTGACTCTCAGTCCCATCCAGTTGATGATCAAGATTGGCCATCACAATGACACAAAGGTCACCACAGTTAACTGACTGTCCTCACATTCCTGCTTTTTCAAAACCCTCTGAATAGAAAACTAGGTAGGAAAAGAGTACTTTCTGGCTTGCCTGGATTCTTCCCCAATGGCAGGTGGGAAATACTAGAGGCCTGAGTTCTTACAGGCGAGAGAAGTTGTTGGTTCTGCATATACATGTTTGCGTGTCCTCGCATGCATGGGCATGATATATGTATGTATATGTAATTTTGTGTGCACATGTTTGCATGAAGGTGTGTGTGTGTGTGTGTGTGTGTGTGTGTGTGTGTGTGTGGTATATGCATGTCTATGTGATTTTGTGTGCACATATTTGCATGCAGATATGCTGTGTCTTGTCTGAGTGCTGTGTGTGTAGAGATCAATGTTGGATGTCTTCTTCAATTGATCCCCACCTTAATTTTTGAAACAGTCTTTCCATGACTCTGAAGCTCACAGATTCAGCTAGGCCAGCTGTCCAGAGAGCTCTAGGGACCCTCCATCTCCATCTCCACCTCTCCAGGGCTGAGACTTCAGGCATGTGATGATGTGTCCAGCTTTATCCCCCCACATATGTCCTGAGATTCCAAATTCCCATCCTCGTGCTTGTGTGGAAAGTAACTTACTGAATGAGCCATCTCTGTAGCCCAGATGTTGAAGACTTCCAAATGAATAGTATGAATGATACCCTGTAATTTCAAATGTTCCCTGGAGTCTTCAGCAGACTTTCTCCTTTCTATCCTAGAACAACTCTGGGATCCCCAAATGCTTTTACTATTACAGCTCCAGGTAGAAGATGTACATGCTGTTAAGCTTGCATGCAAAATGTTACCAATAGGCTTATGCATTTGAACATCTGGTGACCAGCTGGTGCCACTATTTTGGGATGCTATGGGACCTTTAGGAGATGGAGCCTGACTAGTGGAGGTGGGGCACTGGGGACAGTCTTTTAAGCCTGGCCGTGATTCCTTTGCCATTGCCCACTTCCTGACCTGATTGCCACATAAGCAGCTGCACCCCATGTTCATGCCACCATAGAATCACTCTGAAATGCTTCTGGAGCTGTCAATCAAAAGAAAACAAAGTTCCTGAAAGAAGCTGCTGTTGTGTATTTTGTCACATCATCGAGAAAAGCAACTATAAGACATGCTAAGTGTTCAGCCTTAGGGGTAAGTGGTCTTGTTCTCTCCCAATTTCTTACTGAGTTGAGAGACAGAGGGTGAGAAAGGCATCCCACTAGAGTCAGACACTTAAGATGAGTGGCCCAGTCAGTGTCTTCCAGCTCACTAGTGGCTCTCTAGTGGGCTGAAATAGTCTTCAACAGTTAAGTAGTCAGTTCTTCCATACCCACCCAGCTTTCCAGTCATCCTGGTTGGGGTTTTCAGGATCCTGAAAGCACAGACCAGAAAGAGAAATTAGAATGGAACCTTCAGACCTGTAGCAGTGCACATTGTCTGCGCACCAGGAATAAGGATTTTGCCCTTAGATGGGGACGGAGGTACCAAGGTTGGGTATCCCGGTTGTCATGGATCCTGACACTGTGACTGGAGAAGATAATCTGGCAAAAGGTCAGTTTTCCTTGGCCCTGGATTGAAGTTGTAAGTTGTGTGCCAGTGTGGCGTCTGTGTCTAATTAATACATGTCCTCCACACTCTTTAAATCATCCACCGTGTCTTGTAGATAGAATCTGCAGGAAACTTTAACAACCTAACTCAGCCAAAACTGATAGTGGCCCAGACCTTTTAGGGATAGAAATTTGGTTCATTCCAACAGATAAAGAGAAATCGCCTTTTCTCTCAGGCAAAAACTGTTGAACTGAGACATTAGTCTTTTGCCCCTGGGCTGGGGTTTAACCCATTGGCTTTCCTGATTCTCTGGCATTTGAACTCAGACAGGAATTGTATCTTCTGCTAGAGTGGGGTTTCGGCTTGCAGATTATGGGATTTAACATGGAGTAATTCCATATCTACTGAATACAATTATAGTCTGTGTGTATATGTACGTGCATATGCTTTCTCCAGAAAACCTTGTTAACTGGAGGTTGGTTTTAGTGTTGGGTCTCTGTTTGATGTCATACTTTCAAGGACACTGCACAATTATGAATAAACATAATTGAGGTCTTGAGAGTGAAGCAGTTGAAAATTTTAAAAACATACAAATTCGAACATGTCAGTATTGAAGCAAGCGCCTTTCCCTGTGTTTTAATTTGACCTAGAGAGCTGTCTGTAGAAGCCCGCTTGTGAGTGCAAGCATCTCTGGAGAAAAGACGGAGGTGGCCGTGATGTTAGGCAGCCCAGCACCAGCTGTGTGACTGTGTTCTACCACCAACAGCCACATGACCAGAGAAGTTCGCTTTCTCCCTCCGGGACTGTTTCCAGCTGTGCATAGCTGGGATGAACAGATTGCTAAGTGCAAAGTGAATAGGGACTTGCTGAGGGCCTGCCTGTCCTTAGCTTTGCCTCAGAGACAAAGGCTCAAAAGGTACGAGGCAGTGCCTGAAAATCCGAACTTTATCAAGGCCCTGGTTGAGGTGGATGCATGGAGAAATTGGGAAGAAACAAAACAGATGCATTTTCTAATAGGGAGTGTCAATAAAAGTAACTTTAAGTGGGAAAAAATAAATTTTATACAACATTGTGTATTTTTTTAGACAATATGATACAAAAATACAAGGAAAAATATTACCCATTTTTCCTCCCCAAAGCAACCATTTTACATTTTTGTGACTCATCTAAATAAAGAATATGTATTCATATGCTTATTTCTCAGTTTTTTCACTTTAAAAAGTGTATGGAGGTTTTGCCTGTGTGTATGTCTGTGCACTGTGTGGTGTATGCAGTGCCCTCAGAGGCCAGAGGAAGGCATTGTGTGCCCCTGGAACTGGAGTTGCATGGTGGTGAATCGCCATGCGGTTGATGGAAATAGAACCTGGGTCTGTCCTCTGGAGGAGCAGCCAGTTCTCTTAACCACTGCACCATCTCTAGTCCCCTCAAACTTGATTTTTGTATCTATCTATCTATTTTTAAGAAAATGAATCTTATTGTGCTGCGCAACACCTTTAAAAACATTTTCTCAGCAGCTGCTAAGTTCCCTGAGACCCAGATCTGATGCTCTTCTCTGCATAGCTAAGCATTTAGTTTTCTTCTGTGTGCAAGCCACACTCTGTTTACAGACCCACTATTGACAGGTACAAAGACATACTGCGATAATTTTACATGTTATTAAAAAATTAAATAAACTACAGTAAGCATTCTTTTTCAGATCCTTGCATTGGTTTTTGCCAGTGTACCCATGGAGTTACTTCTGAGGGGTTGGGTTTGCAAATGAGGTGTGCACTTGGCTTTCCTTAAAGGGAGGGACCTTGATCTATCATCTTACTACTGCAGATGAGAAGAATACATTCATTCACTGGTCCCATCAGCTGCATTAAAAAATGTATTGAATGCTTTTGATCAAGAAATACCTTGTATTTTTCCTTTCAGAAATAGTTCTCAGTTTGACACTGCTAATTCTGAAAGGGCTTGAAAGATTTCTTCTTTCACAGCTACCTCTAGAGAGCTAAGATCCCTCTCTCACTCCTCCTGTCTCAGCTCAGTCCTCCCTGAGTTCGGGCCCCAGAGCCTGGGGACAGGGATGAGAGGGACATTCCTCTTGCCTTTCCACCAGTAGCTCCAAGTTCTTGGGCCTGGATAGGATCGTCTATGCTTCTGGGTGACCCTGGGTGCAGGTCAGAAGCCCAACTGTTCATGGGCATGGAGGACCGGGGAAATGACGAAATCAAGCTGTGGCTCTTGAGATGTGTCCCCCTGTCCCCCCTCCTCCTTGTGGGGATCTTTCTTTTATTGGACCAGGCGATAAAGCAACGTCATGGTAAAAGCCTTCCTGAGCCGGCTCCCACAGCCTTCAGTCCTTCAGAGGCACCTAATCCGGTTGAGCTCTTACTGTTCCCTGGGCCCCCTGGCCTTGAGAAGACTGCTGGGTGACTCTGCCTGTCACCCGGTAGAGAGGAGAGTGGCAGGAAAGCGGCTGGGCCTTGTTGACTTACTCACTGGGCAGCCAGTGCTTAGTGACAAACAGTAAACAAAGGCTGTGGCTGTTCCTTCTGGAGAGAGACTTGCCGGCCATCGACACTGTGTATTGCTGGGAAGTTTTTGCTAAGTTGAAGGCCTAGACCAGTTTGCAGAGACATCTGGATGCAGCCCGTGAAGAAGGACACAGGTACCGCTGGGCACGGCTCTTTTCTCCTATAAATCTGAAGCAGGGGAAGTGTGAATTTATGGCAGAGGTGGTTGGGGGAATTGGGGCGATACATCCGGGCCCAGGCCTGCATTAGTGATTCTGGGGGCATTATTTACTCCAGGCCTCTGCTAGGGCCTGGTAATAGGGCATTTGTTTTCTAAGCAGAAAGGAAGGACTGAGAAAAGAAGACATGAACTGGAGTCAGGTTCTTCCTTCTTTGAGTTACTGCCTTGCTGCTTGGCCTGTCTGCAAATTGAAACAATGTTAAGTTTCCCAAGACTCAGTTTCCACATCTGCAAAGTAAGGACAACAGCAGCCACATTACAGCATTTAGTGTGTGCCCTCCCAGTAAGCAAGGGCATTTCTGTTTCCCAGAAGTGACTGTTTCGGTTCTTGCTTAAAAACATACCTCTTTCACCTTCATGTTCATTGAGGAGAGTTTGGGTTGGCAGGAGCCAGAACAGTAGACCTGAGTGACAGCTTAAAGTGATAATATAACTTAGTTAATTAGAGGTTTCTATACTTTTTTTGGGGGGGGGGTAATGGATGTTTTTAACAGTCAGCTACCAAAACTCCTGGCATTTTGGGCGGCGGAGATAGATGACTCACTTGGTTTGGTGCTTATACACGCATGAGCCCAAGTTTGGATTCACTCTACCACCCTAAGAAGCCAAGCATGGCAGGCAGCGTGTACCTACAATCCCAGCTAGAGGCAGGCACAAACAGTTGGATCCTTAAGGCTTGCTGGCCAGCCAGTCTGGCTGAATCGGCCATCTCTAGGTTCAATGAGAGACTCCGTGTAAGACACAAAGATGGAGAGCAGTAGACATCCGACACAGGCCTCTAGCCTCTACCTGCATGCATACACAAGTGTATGTGTGCACACACGCGCGTGTACACACATAATCCTTCCTGGGGATAGAATGATTGGCTTCTACTGGCTCTTCAGGTTCCAAGGGACTTTTCCAAAGGTAGAAGACAGTGATGAGAAAGTGATGAATGGGGACAGGGAGGGGATATGCAAGGGGAGATTCCGAATAACCTCTCTCTTTTAGGTCAATGATGTACCTCACCGAACAGCTGGATTCTTTGAAAAGCACACGACAAAAAGATGATTCTGACATTAAAAGCAACCCAGGTGCTGAGACATGAAATCCTCTTAATTAGGAAGCCAAGGCAGGGGGATTGTGCATTTCAGGCCAGTCTGAATGGCAGAATGAGAACCCCTGTCAAAACAAAGAAAACCCAACAACAGCAACAACAAAAACAGGAAACACAAAAATAACAAGAAGAAATTAAATAGTAGAGGAAGTTGGTGGCTATTCTCTTGAGGAGAACTGACTGACCTTTACCCCACCGGCAGATCCCTGGTAGGGGTAGGGAGAGGAGAGTTGAGACCAGCAAATCCCTGATAGGGGTAGGGAGAGGAGAGCTGAGAGCATCTCTGAATTCTCCTCCTCTAGACCTCTGAGTCTGCCATACCATGCCTAGGACACATTACTTTCATGAACTGAAATACGTAGTCTCACAGGATTTCCCTCTGCTAATTAGTCTGCATTCTTTCATCTTTATTGCTGGCTTTGCCCTCCTTTAAAAATGAAGATATTACACCTTCCTAAAATGTGTACTATATACCCAAAGCATATGTGCAAAGTGGTACGGACCGTCCTGGAGAGTCCAGGGCACTCCCTTGCCCTTCCTGCCCCCCCATCAGCTGTACGTCTTCATTTATGGTTACAGGAGCCGCAAAGTGGTCTGGTAGGCTAATGGAGTCTGGTCAGGCTCCCGGTCTGCACGACAGCGTGTGTGGAAAAAGCTTTGAAGACTTCTCCTCTCCTCCCAGGTCTCTAGTCTCTGACCCTTTCAGCCACTCTCTCACCACATCATCTCCTTTTCTGCAGATCCATTCTAACCTCTGATGCTCAGGGTCATATAAGCCCTCTTGATATTAGAAAGTTTGACTTGACTTCCGTCCTAAGTTCCTTGTCTGATGAATCCTGTAAATTTCCCTCTTCTGACCTAAGAAAACAGTTTCCCAGGTTCTACAGACCACTGACTAGTCCTGGTTGTGAGTCTCCTTGAATACAGTAGAGCAATCCTACCTCCAAATTCCAACTGGCTGCAGCTGGCTCTTCCTGGCTGGAACAGGTTCTTTCAAGCTCACCACTGGGACTCAGAGATGTGCCACCATGAACATTTAATATGCAGATGAATCACTAGACAGTTATGATTCAGGTTCTGAGTAGCAGGTCTGGGACACCTAGCATCTGAATTTCTAGCAAACATCACATGATGCCACTGTGGCTGCTCTGAGATGAAGGGACAAGGACATGCATTCTGTGGGGCCCAAGGCCACATGCAGCCTTCTCTTGTGAAGCCATTTCTGGTCTCAAGCCATGGCTTTGCAGGTTTATACCTGTACCGTTTTCTATGCTCACCCATGCCCAGTGTTAATAACATAAGAAGATGGTGTTTGTCAAGAAATTAGCATATACCCGACATGGTGACTTATTGTACAAAGAGAATACATAGCTTTCCTGAAGTGAAGCAGGGTCTCCTTCCATGCTGACCTCAGAGCTTAGCTAGCTACTCTGTTTAGCGATTCCTGTTCCTTGTGAGTGTCCATGGCCTGGCGATTGCTCTGGCATAACGGCTTTCCTCTGCAGGTGTCTTCTCTGGGACTGTCTGGAAACTTGGCCTTCATTTTACTCTTGGTTGTTTCCAGGTGTTATGAATTGTCTGCCCAGCTTTTCTTGCCTTGGCCATAGATCTCTTTATTCTTGTATCTCCAGGAGGTAAAGTGGTCGTGTTTTCCAGGGTTGTTGGAAATAGTGCAGTTGGTGAAGGGAAGTGAGTAGGAGGGGACAGAAGAAGGTAGACGTGCTTAGGGAGTGATGGAAAGGTCTAGTCCTGGTAGTCTGGCACCAACTAAATAGCAAGATTTCAAGACTCAGCTGTCAGAACTTGCTTTCCCACAAACAATGTGGTATAAAACAGTGTCTGAGCATTTCAAAAAGTGCCATCTAAGCATTTCCCTCCTTCCTTCCACCAGCCCTTCCTCCCTCCTTCCTTCCCTTTTCCATTCCTCCTCCTGGGAGTTTTGATGGAATCTTGTAGTCTAGGTTGGCTCCCACCTCAGCCCCCTGTCATGCGCTTGGATTACAGAATGAACCACAACATCAGGCTTCATTTATCTCATCATTCCTGGGTGAAATACAACCACAGAGTAGAAACAACTCTCAACATCCTCAGCAATTGGCCCAGGGTTCAAGCTGGTGTAGCAAGGACAGGAAAGAAGTGTGTGGCACACCTGAAGACAGAAAAGGTTGTGGTGACAAGGGAGGCTGCTGGAAGGATGGGCCTGAGGTTCCTAAGCCCTTTTTCTGCAATGTTGATCTGAACAGATCCTGTAGAGAACAGACAGTAGCTGAAGGCCTGAACACGGAGGCTCAAGAGGTTGGATTTGGGTTTCGGGAATCAAGGACTCTGCAGGATAGAGAAAAGATTGGAACATCAGCAAGACTGTGTTGAAAGAAACCATTCGGGAGGACTGCAGGGAGCACTCAGGGAGGTGCTCATGGCTGAGACTGCAGTGGTGCAGGAGGACTCCAGGGAGCACTCAGGGAGGTGCTCATGGCTGAGACTGCA